CAGTCTCCAAAACAGCGGCCTCGTTCACTTCGGACGAAGTGACGGGTTGTGCTGCTCGAAAGCAGCGGGAGGCGGGAGGCGGGAGGCGGGAGGCGGGGTGGTGGGGGCGGTGGCTGGGGAACTTTAGAATGGCTGGCCGATGTTCGGGTGGTTTCCCGCCCGAATGTTAAGGCCTATCGGGGCCGCAGATCTCACCAGATCGACGGCCCAGATAGACCACCAGTTTTTCAATATTCTGGCGGGCCTACCGGACCCCGTTAATTTTTTGGGGGGCCGGGAGGCCTCCACGACCCGCATGGAGGCCTCCCGGCCCCCAAAAAATTGAAACCCCCGCGTGATCGAAATGCGCAAAGGGGAACCGGGAGGGAACCGGCGCGGTCCACCGGCCGGTACGACCGGCCCGGTTCCGGTGGGGGTAGGGGGCCCCGGTGGGACCGGGTATTCAGCCTTGGTTCTCACTCATATTCCTTGCACAGTGTTTTTTTATCTTTTTTCCCTTTTATCTGTATAAGTCCATTAACGGAAAAAAAGTGCGACATCTTTATCCCACCAGCAATCACAAAAGAATGAAAAGGAAAAATTGCCCTTCTTTATTACTTTTTTCATTTTTGAAATATGTAACGACCCGCCAAAACACAGACTGAGAACACTGCTGATTTCTGGGATTTGCCGCTGGAATGTATGCCTTGCTGAGATTCCCTCATCTGCTGTGATTTCTAAGTCTGTGTGTGTGTGTGCCTGCTGGTCTGCGTACCTGTCTGAGTGCTTGTCGGCCTGAGTGTGTGTGTGACCCGCAAGGGTACTTGTTGGTTGAGAGGCCCCGCAGGGCCGGTACTTACCTGTGGCTGTGACTTTGAGGGTTGCAGCTGGGAAAAACACTAAAGTAGCGGGGGTAGGCCCCCGACACTTAGAGCAGCGGGAAAAACACTCAAGTAGCAGGTAGGCCGGTACCACTCAAGTAGTGGTAGAAGTGTCGGGTACTCGAGGCCGAGCAGAAGAAGACAAAAAGTTGGCATTTTTAGAGGCCCAGTAGCGGTCGGCTAGAAGTAGACCTGTACCAGTCCAAGTAGCCTGAGTCTAGGGCCTGTACGGACGACATCAGAGCCTGCAATGATGTTTCCCTCCGAAAGGGAGGAGGTACCGGTTGCTGGGAGGCCGCGCAGCCTAGGAAGTCACTGCCCAAGGGGCAAGTAGGCCGCTATATCTTCGGGAGGAGCAAGTAGCTCCTCATTTGCGGTGTGCAAGGATTGGCGACATACTGCTGGGGCCAAGCGCTGGACTTGGAGCGCTGCCTGGAGGAGGAGAGCAGCTGGTCGCTCAGCCGGGCTATGGCAAGCAGCCCAGCCTGAGGAGGAAGAAGAAGGGGGGCGAAGGAGGACAGTGGCGAGGTACCTACCTGGCTATGGTGGACACCATCTTCATCACCTTGTTAGGCGCTGCATTTGGAAGGCCCCAGTTGGGGTAGTGCCGCACCAAGGAAGCTCAAGGCAGAGTCAGGCATGGCGTAGCTGCTTTGTGTTGTCCTTAGGACAGGAGGGCAGAGCCCTTAGTAGTCCGCATAGCCTTGGCATGTGAGAGGAGGAAGAAGGGGGAAGCCATGGCTATGGAGGACCTGGTGTTGTGCTGGCAGTAAGAGGGAACTTCGGATACTGATTCTGGTTCATCCACTCACTGTTATTACTATTATTGGAAGAAGAATAAGGTTGGCAAAGTCAAGGAGGAGGAGGAAGGTGGAGAGAGAAGGGGGATTTGGCATTGGTCTTGCTGGTGTATATCTTCTTCTTCTTCTTCTTCTTCTTCTTCTTCTTCTTCTTCTTTCTCTCTTCTTTGGTCTCTATCTCTTTGTGAGTGCTTTCATTTCTTTTGCGATTGGGTGGCACTGTCTTTCGTTGTGAATTTGTACTTTAGAAATGACCAGGATCGTAACAAATACTTCTTTTGTCGTTTTCGTTTTTTGTTTAATAAAAAATAACGTTGAAATCCAAAAAAAAACAAAAATGGGGTTGTAGGGTCTATCAAACCCTACAACCTCGTATAACGAGTCCTTTTTTTCTAATTTTTTTTTACATTTATTTTTCGAGGAAAAAAAAATAAAAAAACTCGGCCGCCCACGACCGGCCGCGGTCGACCTCGGCGGTCTTGTTCTCGCCCGCCAGGTGGATTCGGCCCCATGGTCATGACTGGGGGTGATGAGGAAGTGACTGGTGCAGAATGGGATGCGGTTTGGGACCAAATGAGGAAAGGGGCAGAATGCACAGCAGGCAAAGAGAATCCCTGAATATTCCTAAAACCTGAATACCGCTAGTGAGAAGCACACTCACGAACCATACGTCTCCAGTGCTTTACTGAGCAACTGCTATTCTTCTGGAGCAACATGTGCCAGATCTTTTCATAACAGATGACCCTCAAAACCAGGTGCCCCATAATGGTGAGGAAAGGGGCTGGGAGGAAGGGGAGCCGGATCGAAGGAGTGGGAGAGAGAGAGGGGAGGGAGGGGGAGAGAGAAGATAGAAGGTAGGGAGGGTAGGGGGTAGGGAAACCCAAGAGTCGCAGGTTACTAATCAGCTAAACTGATGGCACAGAGATAGGGTTACGCATGGCTTATGTGCATGCTTGCTTCAATAATCTAAAGGAAAGATACGCTGAAGGGGAGTGTCAGGGGGTGTTGGGAGTGAGAGGAGAGCATGATTCATGATAACACCATAGAAGAAGTACGACCCAAACTACAAGCTAAGAAGAAGGGTGGCATTGAACACTCCCGAAAGACAAAGAAATCAGATGTGACGGATCATGTGGGGTTCAATCAACCTGGGAGCTAACTAGAGCGGAAGGGTGAAGACGATGAAGGTTGGTCAGAGAGCTTACGTGTTCACAGATGGGCATTCTCTTGCAAGTCGTTCGGCAATTAGCGGAAACACCTTTTCTCTCCATGCCTGCACACCAACATAGTGCTCTCTATCAACTTATCAATCAATGATCAACTCTCTCTCTCTCTCTCTCTCTCTCTCTCTCTCTCTCTCTCTCTCTCTCTCTCTCTCTCTCTCTCTCTCTCTCT